CCGAGTCTTTATCGATACCACTATCGATACTTTTCTGTTATTTGGTGGAAAGACGATGCAACAATATGTTTTTAACAGAACTGGTATTGATTTTATTGCTTAACAAGTGAGCATAACAAAAACGTTTCTAGCCTTCAATAAATATGGCTAATGTAATAGGCCACTTCGAAATGACATAAAACTAAATAGAATATATTTTCACAATTGTTGGTTAATGTATTGTCTACTGTCACTTTTCATCATGTTTTTAGTGATTAGGAAAATATTTAGCAAATAAATAATTGTATTTTAAATTAAATGTAATTTTTAATAAATGTTGGCATCAGTAGTTTAATTATATATTCTAAATTAGAGCAATATACAACTGTATTACTCGTGTTTCTCGCCAAAAACTCAATTTCCCTTTTCTTTACGTTACACATGAACACATCATGATAACCTAATTTTCGTTTTACTGAGCCAATCTGAACACATCATCACGCAGCACGTCTGAAACTTTATTTACTTTTCAAGGTAACTAGCTTGTATGCTGCCGATTACAACACGGATTTCACAATTACTATTTTTAACTGAGTGGACAAGCTACAAAGTCTGTGTGTGCGCCTACCAGGGGTACTCTGATTGGATAAAGAAAGACGGGCCCGACTGTGGTGCGGCGGCAGCAGCAGGAGGAGGAGGAGTCTTTTCCGTTCAGCCATCCTCGAGTGGCGAGCAAAGTTAACTGCCAAACTTCACTTGTTTTACTTTTAATGTCTGTTTGCTTACAATTTCATTGCAAAACATTGGTGGACATGCTGCAGTGATTGGATTGATTAGATTAAATGCTGTGACGCGACTCGAGGGACACACAATTATGTTACAGGACCTCCGGGAGAAAAAAAAAAAAAACGACCAGACTCTATAGTGGTATCGATAAGCCCAAACGTTATTGATTTTCGGGTTTTGAAAAAAGTGGAACCGGGTCCTTGATAGAACCGGGTTTCGATCCCCATCCCTACTGAAAACATGTTAAAAATGGATGCAGCTATAGAGATGTTGGGTTTGTTCAGATAAAATATATTGAACAGATTATTATTTAGGTAGACAACACCTACGATGAATTTCTTTGGCAGAATTTAAATGAGCAAATTTAAACTAGATTAATGTAGTTTGATTTCAAGATTACAGTGAGATTAATCTAGATTGAAATAAATTCATTATATATAAATGTACTCCGTCAGACCTGTTTAGATACATACATATATATATATATATATATATATATATATATATAATTTTTAGAAATTCCCTTTCCCCCCATATTTCCTCTTCTGCTGTTGACATCTGCTGTTTTTACAGTAACGTCACACTAACAGTAACATGACAATTTGCTGCTTATTCCAAGTCCTGCTGTTGTACCTCCTGTTTGCCTGTCCACTGAGACATGGGTGTTTAAAAAAACCCTGCCAGCTTTCCTGATTTGCTTGGAAAATCACTGAAGCAGAGGACCATCAGATCACAATCCTATTTTTAAGCAGCATGTTAATCAAATTGTATTTGTGCTAGTGCCATATAAAGTGCATGTTGTAGCACATCAGTCCCAACCAAATGGAGACTATGGCTCCACTCTACACCCACTCTCACTATAGAATAACTGTCATCTAATTTGGCATAATGTTACAACAATCCATTGCTGAAAAAAAAGACATTAGTGGTGCTACTATTGGCGTGTGCATGTTGATGCAGGAAAGAACTACAGTAGTCCTTGCTGCAGATACATTATTCACTAATATTATAATGAAATGCACTATATCAGGGGTTTTCAAAATATGAAAGGGTGAGCCCCCCTCCAGGGAGCACTATGCCTGCTGCGCCCCCGACCCCCCCA